CTCCTGTGCCTTGGATTCCTTTGCTGCTTTGATTTTTGTACAGCTGGGTGCTGGCTGACTCTTTTCGAAGTATTTTCTTTGCAATAGCACTGCATGTTTTACCCCATCTATCAGGAAAATAAAAATAAGACAACAGAGGACAAAACAAGTTGTCTGGTTTAGACTTTATTGCTTAGTCTGGTTGGGCCACCCAACTTTTCAACCGTTATTTTCCCATGGCACCTCTCCTCTTTTTCCTCCTAACAAGCCACTCTTAGACTTCTGTTCAGTTCATCTGGAGATGAAAATCACCAGAGTTACTGAGATTTACCTCAAAGCCCACAGACAAACCTAGCAGAAAATGTTCTCCCTGTGTACTGCACAAGAATACATATTCAGAAGAAAATACTGGGGCAGCTGAGGCTTGTGGGAACAAGCTTTTAAACCTTTGTCTTGCCTTCCTCCTGTTGCTAAAACGTAAGACTGCTATTGCGAAAACACTGAACTACAAACAAGTTTCCATTCCTCAACAACAAGCTACTCAGGTGCACAACCTATCTTACAAAGCAAAACCAGATGCTGGCAAGAAACTTCCACCAGTTGCAAAGCCCATTTGCTGACAAACCCTGCCATATCTGAGCAAACATTTATTAGTATCAGTTCAACCAAAAGAAACTCAAGTCTGCATTAACAAGCATTTGAAATCTTATATCCTTATCAAATCTCTATCCACTGATATACACAGGAAAGAGAGAACAATTACAGTATTTTACTAACAGATTATGCACATTTTAATAGTAAAATTAATTTTAATAGTAGTTTCAGGCCATCAGAACAAAGGATACCCCATTTCCTACAGGTTTCATCTCATGCTTTGTTCTCTGGTATTTACTAAGGACTGAGATGTCATTTCATATATGCCTATAAGAGCTGTAACAAGGCCTCTCTCAAATTAGCTCAACTAGTAAAGATTAACTCAATTACAAAATAACTGCCTTTGAAACCACTGACCTTCAAGCTAGTGTAGCCAAAATTTAGGCATAGGTTCAAGTTATGAGGTTGTGGGAGACAACAAGGGGGAGAAGATAAAATGGAAAGATGCACAGGATAAAAATGTGGCTGTACAAGTTTTGCTGCTTCTCGGGACAATAAAAAAAAATTCACCTTTGAAAAATGAATGCATTCATTACTAACATTACTACCCGACAGCCTCAAATAACTCCCTAGTTTTCAAAGGTTCAGATTACAGGCCTAATTCTATTTTCCTGCCATCGACATTTTCAGAAACCGACTCATGCATTCATGAAAACACAAACAAGTAGGAATTATTTTAGGGGGAATGACGTATGAATGTCAAATAATCTCAACAATAACTTATCAACGGGTGCAGTCACAATTTTAAGATACGTTTTATAATGTGCCTGTTTGCATTAGACTTACCAACAGCCTCTGCATCCTCTTCTGGTGAAGAAATAATGTTTGGTATACTAAGCTTCGCTTTTGAGGAAACTTTATCCTTGGTATCCCAGATTTTTAAAATTATTTTGTGATCTCTCAGTTTTATTAGATATTCCGTAGTGACACTGATATCAACACTATGGTTCCACGATAGCCACATCTTGTCGTTTTCAAACCATGGTGTAATAGCCTATTAAAACAAAAGATGAAAACCTTTACAGGAGATGACCAGTACTGAAGAACTTGTATTCACGTGCTGACCACTATCGCCACTGCTCTCAAGCTGTACACTTTGTATTTCTCCAGCTTCTGCTGGGTCTTACACGACCCCCCCCTTCCTGTGTCAGAGAGCAGCATGTTTTGTCAGATTCAGACAAAGTTGGCTTATCAAGTCAAGGTCTGAAACAAAGACTTGAGGTAAGGACAAACAGCAGTTAAGCTGTTGCTCAGCGTGAGATCGTGGACTGAAAACTTAACAGGATACTGTAAAAGCAAATATATACACTTTAAAATTCTGAATTGGTATTTACAAAATTAAAGCATCAGCACTAAACTTCACGTGTATATGCTGGTAGACTCTAAGGACAAAGCACTCACCAGATTTATGGTCACCATAATTATGGTGATTATATGGTCACTACCAATATAACACTTTTCAATCAGCTACTCTGCACATGCATTTTGTTTAACAAAAACATCAAACATACTCAGAAGAAGTGCAAAGCAATCAAAGAGGGCCATTAGAAAGATTGTTGTGCAAAGGCAACACCTGAGAGTATACAGGTTACTTTAAAACCAACAGTCTCTCTCTTTCAAAAAAAAAAAAAATTATTTTAGCATTGACCTTTTAGAAATAATTTCTTAACAAACCAAGGTGTATTCAAAACAATATATCCCATTTTTAGGTTCCTAAATTTGAATGTGCAGGATTCAGTTAGACACGTGTCTAAATAAAACCAAATTTGCAAAATTCTTCAAGTACCTTAAAAATCTTTTTCTTCTCAACAAAGATAAGAGGCATAAATTTCATTTTTTTCTTCATTGTTAATAAAATTGATAACTTCTTTCAAATTATTATATTATTATCTTGGTACTTGAAAGATAAAAGCTATAATCCTAAGTAAACTGATAATCTAGAGGAAAATAAAAGTAAAATATTCTGAAATCCACCAGCCTCTTACCAGAAATGTAAGAAGTTACTGCTGATCTGGACTAGCAGAATCAAGTTCTATCCTTGCTATTTGTTCCATATCTGTATGTGCAGATAAAGCCTAAGCAGCTGTTAAAACAATACGCAACTACATCACTCCCTATCTGAAAACATTCTCCCACATCTTGAATTATTTAGTTTTATTGTATCTTTTACCTTGGAATCAGATTCTGTAAATAGCTTTGCAACCACTCCAAATACCACCAAATCCAGTTTTCTAGGTACGAGGTCAGCTGGTAGCAGGAAGTACTCAACGTGATAGCAACGTTGCATTCTCGGAATCGCTCCCGATTCATCAACTTGAATTCTCGTTCCTCGTCTACCAGGGGGATTGGATTTCTTCTGCTTTTGTCCTAGAGAGAATATTAGAATTATCTGGAAGCGTTCAATGTTATCAAAGATGATACATTCAGAGGGAATTAATGTTCCCTGTAATGACCAGCTGGTAACAGGCATTCCAGTGTGACAACAGAACAATGACTGACTGAACACAGATGAAACTCTTACCCCAGTGCCCAACCCCGCAACTCTTACCCAGGTTTAACTACCATAATGGTCCATAAAGTTCCTGGAACTCCTCCCTTCATTATCTCTTCCTGCAGCATGACGTCCAGGGATTGCAATTCCCAAGGCACATATGTCCTGTCACCCAGATAACTTCCATAAAGCAGAGTTCCACACTGCTCAGAGGAAGCCTGGGTGTACCCGCTCCTGCTTCACCCCAACACCCCTATGCAACAGAAGAATCGTAACTCACCTGTTGAACAGCTGCTACCTTCTCCTAAAATGACAATACCACCTTTAAAGTACTCAAAATCATAATTAGCCAAGTTGAGTACATATGCCAAAAAACTACCTTTATTTTCATCATTAGGCAGTGTCTGATTAATAAGCAGGAGCTAAGATCATTAACTTGAATAACTGTGACTACTGAGGAGTCAGTAGTCAGGAAAGGTTTTCAGTCACTAGTGACAACCACCCAATGATAAGAGGTTCCCATGTCCCACTGCCATTTTCTTGAGCAATCTACCCAGGAAAATTCAAATCAACTAATGTCTTTTCTAACATTATCTCCTTAAACCATCCAGGACTCTGCCACAAACTCATGAAGTAATAAAAAAAAGGGTTCTTAGGAGAACCTGTGTCAGGTACTTACCTGTAGGCAGGACAGGGACAGCTAGTGAGACTGTGAACGTGCAGGTCACAGTGTGGGAGCCATCCAGTTCCACCCAACTTTTTTCAGACGTAAGGAGCCTGCTGCTTTCACCCTCTGGGGTCAGATGCCCACCACCCTCAAGCACCTCTAGGTTTTCAGTTTCAAAAGTGCTTTCAGAGCAGATTGTGTTCAAGTCTGGCATCTCTTCTTTACCATCTTCTTCCACCTCCTCTTCTCCCAGTGCCTTTGAATTCTTATGTTTTTGCTTTGCCATCTTGATGTGCAGTCAGAGAACGGACTCAAAGGCTACGGAACAAAACAAACAGCTTTGTTTTAGTGCTGGAATAAAAACCCCTACTAGAACCAAAGCAGGAACAAGGGAGCATAGCACGAAGAGGTCCAAAAATTCCCACTTCAAAAATGCTTTCAAAGTATGGAACATATATACCCAACGGATTCATTTCAGGGCACAGGGGCAATCCAAACAAAAGTCTCTAAGCAACAAGCCAGGGTAACAGCGCATCAATGCGTTCAGCAAAGAGCAACACAACGCTCAAAGAAGTGAAGAAGGGGGATGTCATCTGAGGATATAAACTATCAGTTTCTTGCCTAGCTGCAGAGTAAAGTTGAGTTTTGAAAGGAACGTATTTTTAGGAAACGAAGTGCCAACGGAGCAGGTGCGCCCAGCACCCCGCCCGGAGACAGGGACCGCAGCCGTGCGCACCCACGCACTGGTGCAGCCCGGCGCTCGGACTGACCGCCTCGCAGCAGCGAGCTGGCCACCGAGCCGCTGCTGCCCGGAGCTCCTCGCAGCAGGCTTCTCACACCGGGAAGTTGTGTTTTTTATAAAGCTGCACTGAAGCGGAATAAGCCATAGTGCGCACGGACGTTCCCAAATCGTGGGTGGCTGCTAGCTCCAGCAGCATCCCGCTTGGGCAGTTTGTCCCAGAAACCGAAGCAAAAACATCTCGCCAGAGCATCTGCACCTCTCAGCGCCGACTCTTCACCTGCTTCAAACACTGTAGGCTTTCCCTGCTAACACGCTTACACCTTACTTTCATTTTCTATCGTTTCTGAATAGCCCGTGTATTGTTAGATATAGGGGCAGCTACCCACTACAGACTAAACCTATGGAGAGGTAATTTCCTGCATGTCTTGCACGCCCTGCCCAGCTCTGTGCCACCCTTGCCTGACGCGGCACGGAGCAGGGCACGAGGCTGCTGCAGCGCCCGCGACAGGCA